ATAATTATATTTTAAAAATTTTTTAAAAATTTTTGAAAATAATCATTTTTGAAAAATTCTATTAACGTTAATGAATAGAGGCAATTTTACTGTAAAACTTTTGTATAAAACATTTTTTGATATCTTAAATAGTTTTTGAGATATAACGAAAAAAAGAAAAATTAATTTATATAAAAGGGGTGGTTTCATCCCTTTAAACCGTTTTTGGGCCGCAACTGCTAATTTCTAAATTCATCTATGTAGGTAACCTACATATATAAAAAGTTTCGTTAAGATCAGAATTTGACACTTCGCGAGGTTCCCTTGTTAGTTTAACGAAAAAATATTCTGGAATGAAATAATGAAAATTAAATCAGAATTGAAATAACGATTGAGCAAATGATTACGGCTCCAAAGACAGTAGACTTAATCGGTTGGATGGCCTTTTAAAGAGTCCTTTGACCGTTTTAATGGTTGCTGCTCTGACGACACCGTCGTCTCAGGGTGAACTTCTTGGACTCTACCCAGAGGCCAGCATAATGGAGGCATGTTATCCTCACGAATGAGTACCATGTCGCCGGGGGCGACGTTAACATCTTTTGTGCTCCATTTTGTTCGTTGGTGCAATTGATTAAGGTAGTCTTTGGACCACCTTTTCCACAGATGCTGACGCATTTGCTCGACTCGTTGCCACCTCGAGAGTCTATTCTCCGGAATCTCCAATAATGTAGGCTCCGGAATACCGGTAAGTGTGTCTCCAATTAGAAAATGCTCGGGAGATAGATAGGACAGATCATTAGGATCGTTGGATAGGACGGTAATAGGACGGGAATTTAATATGGCTTCGATTTGAATTGATAAAGTTTGCATTTCATCTATTGTCAACGATGCCGTGCTGACAACCCTTTTAAAATGAGTTTTAAAAGAACGTACAGCAGCCTCCCAGATGCCACCGAAATTGGGAGCTCTAGGCGGTTAGGTTGAAGTGCCACTGTATTCCTTGCACAACTGAGTCATGTGATATTTTATGTCCTTCTTGAGTAAACAAGGTCTGCAACTCTCTCAATTCCCGATCTGCTCCTACGAAATTAGTTGCATTGTCGGAGAAGATGTGGCTTGGCTTGTCCCTTCGTCCTATAAAGCGTTTAAGAACGTGAATAAAACCTTCTGAAGATAAGTTGAAAGTTATCTCAACTGCCTTGGTTGCCAGACACACGAAGATAGCTGCGTAGGATTTTACAGTTTTCGCATTTCGTCGTTTAGATTCACGAAGCTGAAAGGGACCACAAAAATCCACTCCCACATTAGAGAAGACTCGTGAAACTTGAACTCTTTGTTTCGGTAGATTGCCCATAATTGGCTGAATAATTGAAGGATTTGCGCGAAAGCATTTGATACACTTTCTTATAATGTGACGGACCGTATTTCTTCCGTTCAGTGGCCAAAATCTTTGACGTAGAGATGCTAACGTGGTCTGTGATCCTGCATGAAGTAATCTAGTATGCTCGTGTTCTATCAATAATTTTGTGAACGAATGCCTTGAAGGTATTACCATTTGATGTTTCGCCGAGTATGGCAAACTGACGTACTGAAGTCTGCCACCTACGCGTAAAATTTCTTGCTCATCGAGAAAAGGACTAAGAGATGAAAGTTTGCTACTTCTCGATAATTGTTGATTATTCCGTAAGCATTTGAGCTCGCTCGGAAACGCAGATAACTAAATCATTTTAACCAGCGATTGTGTGGCTTCGCTGATTTTCTTACTAGACAAACCCTCCTTGATTTTCGGTTTGCTAGAGCGGCAATTGTTGAGAAAGCGTCGAATATATCCATGTACTCGGATTAACTTATTGAAGGTTGAACATCTATCGAATAACCATGGAAGCTCTGATGTGGTAATCGTGGTCGCTATCATTTTTCTTTGCTCTGGCACTTCTTGGTCCGATATCAAAGGCTGAATGTGCCAATTGGCTGTGTCTTGAGAAAGCCACGTGGGACCCTTCCACCATAAATCAGCCTTGAGTAGCGACGATGGTGGCATTCTCCTAGAAATGATGTCCGCAGGATTATGCGCAGAGTCCACATAGTACCAGTCGCTAGGATCAGAAATATCTTGGATCGTTCTAACACGATTGGCTACAAATGTACTCCATCTCCTAGGAACAGACCTAATCCATGAAAGTGTAATGGTTGAATCAGACCAATAATATATTCGTGTGAACTTGACATCAATAAACGTTGAAATCTTATGCATTAGCTGAGCCAATATCAACGCGGCACATAGTTCTAGACGCGGTAGAGATATATTTTTTAAAGGTGCTACCCTTGATTTTGCGCAGTAAATTTGATTCGTAATGACCTTTTGATGACTTGCTCCGAATATATACGCAAGCTTCATATGCATTTTCACTGGCATCTGCGAAACCACATAATTCTATAGTCTTTGAAGCACAAGGGATAACCTTTCGCGATATTTGAAGCTTATTTAGCAAGTGAAGCTCCGACTCGTAACGAGACCATTGAGTCTGTATGTCACTGGGAACCGCTTCATCCCAATCAACCTTTAGTTGCCATAATCTTTGCATGAAGATCTTTGCCGTGATTACGATAGGCCCTAGAATTCCCAAGGGATCGAAGATATGAGCAATGGACGAAAATATGTTTCTTTTTGTAATCTTACGTTGTTTAGTCAAGGAAATGCTGAACTGAAATGTATCACTCTGTGAATTCCATTGCAAACCAAGCGTGCTTAAATTTGCATTATCGTTGATGTTTAGGATGCAATCCGCTGCCGATGCGGGTATCCAGCACCGCTCGTTCGTTTAATGCCCATTTGCGTAGCTGAAAATCTGCTTTACATAGTATTGCGTTAACCTCGTTTCGTATTGTGATGAGATCCTTAATCGAATTGGCACCCGTTAAAAGGTCGTCAACATAGAAGTCTGATAAAACCCTTGCGGCTCCTATCGGCATGTTACTTTGCTCTAATTTCGCTATTTTCTATAAGGAACGTACAGCAAGGAATGATGCCGACGCGGTACCATAGGTGACGGTGGCTAACTCAAAAATCTTCACTTCTTCTTCAGCGCTGTTCCGCCATAGAATCCTCTGTAATCCTTGTTGAGATTCATCGACTAAGACCTGTCGATACATTTTAGCCACATCTCCTGTCAAAACATATTGCCAAATGCAAAACTTGATTAGGATGGATATGAGATCTTGCTGCAGTGTTGGCCCTACCATCAGAATATCATTGAGTGACACTCCTGTATCTGTCTTGCACGAAGCGTCGAATACAACACGAATTTTTGTAGTAGAGCTATTGTTCTTAAATACTGCATGATGCGGTATGTAATAAATCGGAAATGCCCTTTGAGCTTCTAGAGTAACAGGATGCATATGTCCAAGCTCTAAATATTCTTGTATAAATCGTGCGTATTCCCCTTTCATCTTTGGGTGACGATTCAGCTTGCGCTCCAATGAGTAGAATCGTTTTAACGCTATGTCGTAAGATCGTTCTAATGTTTGCAGCTTGTCTGCCTTGATCGGCAGTTGCGCTATGAATCTGCCCAACTCCGTTCGGCGATGAGTTTTGATGAATTGCTCTTCACATTCTCGCTCTTCAGCTGTGAGTACTGGTCTGACCAAAACTTGCTCTGTTTGCCAGAATCTTTCAATAGCTTGTTCTAAATTGATGCGGTTCACTGAAAGATTACATTGTACTGTTCCTTGTAATGCCGAATTGCTTGAATACTTGCCACCTATTATCCAGCCAAATAATGTTTTTTGAAGTAAAGGATGCTCTGATGATTCCTTGATTTGGCCGATGCAGAGTGTATTCCAAAACATCTCAGCGCCTAGTAATATGTCTATATCTGTAGGTCGATAGAATTCTGGATCCGCCAATGGCAGATTTTGCGGAACCTTAAAAGTGCCTTTATCCATTGCCATGCTAGGCAAGCGCTCCGTAATCTGGTTTAACACTAAATAATTAATAATGATTTTGTAGGCATAGTGCCTCGAAACTGATTTGCACCTGCACCATTTTCTGAATCTTGCTGCAGGCATGATTGACTCCAATAATTGACATGTCGATCGATTTTACCGTAAGGCCCAGACGTCGTACCAAATCTTCCGTTACGAAGTTGGATTGCAATCCTGAGTTTAAGAGCATACGGCATGTTTATTTCCTTGGCAATCCTGTGCGTTTACCAGTGCCGTTGATAGAAAAACTTGTGATGATGAATTTGTTATCGCCGTATGTGCGACATTTGCTGTAGGTGCATTTGCCTGCTGGCTTGTGGATTGAGATGGCAGAGCCGCGACCTTGGCTTCCGGCTCGTCCCTAGAAATGTGCAGCAGCGTATTGTGTCGTTTGCCGCATGTTCTGCAATTACCTGACCTGCACGTCTTTGCGCTGTGTGATGAGAACTTCAAGCAATTACAACATAACTTATGTTCCCTGATGATCTTCAGGCGCTCCTCTGGGGAAACTTTTAAGAATTGTTCGCATGCAAAGATTTGATGATCTCCTTTGCATTTTTGACATGATGCTGTCTTGGAGCTAACGCATAATGAAACCTTTGCTGAACTGACCTTAACTTGTGATTGTGATGACGACTGAACCTTCCTGTTAACTGCCTCAAGCATATGACACCTGTGCTCTAGAAAATCCGAGCGTTGCAATGTGGGAATTTCGGCCTCTGTTCATGCACATTTTATATATTACTTGCGGCGCCCTCTTTACTTGTGATTGGCTGTTAGCTAGCGTAAGCGGCGCGAGAAGCGAAGTAGCCAAGATGGCGAATAAAGATTATTATAGGCAAGACGTGCTTTGTGTGCTCTCGTTATTTATTATAAAAGGTGAAACCCAGCATCATCCGCATTTATCATAAACATTGGTCCTTCGAGCCGGATCTGCTTGGGGTTCGATATACTCAAGAACGAGGCTTAAGAGGGGCAAACGAAGTCAGGAAGAGATACGAGCGGTC